GCGCGGGCCCCCGCGCCCCCCCCACGTGGAGGGGCAAGGGCGACGAGGATGGAGGGGTGGGGCGGGGGGAGGGCGGGGGAGGAATGGAGGGGCGAAGGAGGAGGAAGTGAGGGAGAAGGGTGGGGGAGTGAGGGAGTGAGGGAGGAGGAGGGAGTGAGGGAGTGAGGGCAGGGAGGGGACAGAGGAGGCATGCAGCTGCTTTTGCTGCTGTTGTTACTGTTGCTGCTGCTGCTGATAAATAACGACAATGCTGTGACAGACGACGACGACGACGAAAACGACGACGTGGATGACGATGATGCTGATGATGATGATGGTGATGATGATGATGATGGTGATGATGCTGATGATGATGGTGCTGAAGCTGATGCTGCTGATGATGATGCTAATGATGATGATGCTGATGATGATCCTGATGCTGCTGATGAGGATGATGATGACGATGATCCTGATTATGGTAATGGTAAAGTTGCTGACGATGATTATGATCATCATTCTGATGCGGATGATGAGGACGATGAGCCTGTTAATATGACATTTGAGGATGATGATGTTGAGGATGACGATAATGATGATGATGATGATGCTGATGATGATGATGATGGTGATGACGATGGTAGTGATGATGATACTGATGATGCTGCTGCTGATGATACTGATGATGATTATGACGGTGACGGTGATGGTGATAGTGGTGATGATGCTGCCGCTGATGATGATGACGCGGATACGAAGATGGATGCTGATGATGACAATGATGAAGATGATGCTATGATGAATGTGATGTTGATGCTATGACTATGATGATGATGATGATGTTGATGATGCTGATGCTGATGAGGATGATGATGATGATGGTTGCGATGCAGCTGCTGATGATGATGCTGATGATGCTGATGATGCTGATGATGCTGATGATGTTGATGGCGGTGGTGGTGATGGTGGTGATGATGATGATGATGAGGACGAGGATGAGTGTAATGGTGGAGATGATGATGATGCTGCTGCTGATGCTGCTGCTGATGATGACAATGATGATGCTGATGATGATGATGCTGATGAGGGGGATGAGGAGGATCAGGATGCTGAATTTGAGTATGCGTTCGGGTAGTAGAAGTATGGGTATGTGTATGATGGTGACGATGATGCTGGTGATGACGATGATAACGCTGGTGATGTTGATGATGATGATGCTGATAATGATGATTTGAATGATGATAGTGATGATGCTGCTGATGCTGATAATGATTATGATGATGTTGATGATGATGATGTGATGGTGATGATGATGATGCTGATGCTGCTGATGATGATGATGATGATGGTGATGATACTGATGATGATGATGCTGCTGATGATGATGATGATGATGCTGATGATGATGATGCTGATGATGATGATGATGATGATGATGCTGACGATGCTGATGATGATGAGGAGGAGGAGGACGAGGAGGAGGAGGATACGAGGAAGGATGGCATGAGGATGATGAGGAAGACCAGAGTAACCCCAATCTGCATCAACGATGCTGCAATACACCTTTCGTGTCAGAAGTCCCTCTTTCATTAGTTCGGGCCGAGTCTCCATTTCGCTACAAGAGGCACCCGCTTCATAGACGAGTAACCTTTGAGCCTGCCATTCAGTCGAGAGTCCGGTTTTGTAACGTGAGCTGCGTTGTATTCTTCTAGGGACTACGAAGGAGTGCGGAAATTTACTATCATATATTTCAACGGGGTGGCCAGCGAGATCCCCTTTTTGAAAAAGGCCGCACCATCTGTGCAACCCTTGCACAAGTTTGGGGCCACCTGGGGACACGGCACCTGGGGACAAGGCCACCTGGAGACAAGAACGTGTCAGCGTGACACGTGTGTTCCCTCATGCCATGAGCAGGGGACGTCAAACACCTGTTAATGCAAACCCTACTCGCCAAACGTTGTAGTTTCCATTTCTCAGAGGTACATTCAGAAGCGTGACGGAATGAAAGTGCGAGAACATGTGAAACATGTGAATAGCAAAGTATGACATGTAACAAATATAAAACATGTTGTTCAGTGTTTTTCGCACTTTGCATTCGTATTTGTTCACACGTTCACTATGCAGTGTTGTCTCCTTTGCAGTCACGACTTTCATTGAAACAGCAGTGAAGTCGGATGTTCCCAAAGGTAGACATTGCAATGGCAATTGTAGAATTACTCACGCGTAGTCAGCTCAGTAGATTTATCCCCTCGGATTCTCTACCACAAACTTATTCAATGCTATTGCTCGCATAGCCATTACTTGCAGCTATTCTGGCTCCTACCAACACGGCTACTACTATATTTATTTCTACGGTTAGTATTGTTTCACCAGCTCATGCAATCTTTGTTGCTGGACTATTGTCAATGTTTCTTTTCTGCTGGTACATTCGCACGAATGCTACATAGATCTGATACTGCTAGTAAGGGTAAACTGTTTGTTGCTTCGACTACTTCTGCTGCTACAACTGACGACTATCACTACACCTTTGTAAAACAGCGGTTGTTATTATACTCGCTACCACGGTGGCCACCACACTTCGCTACCTTCTTACTTCTGCTGCTACCACTACTGATCTACTGTGGTTCTAGCACCTATCATTCTTGTTTACTCGTAAGTTTACGCTCGTTTTCTGTCGTGTGGTTTCTTCAATGCCTACACCTGTCATTATTGTCAAAAATTGCTGCATTATTTTTTTAGTAACTGTAGTATGGTTGACACTACTACTACTACTTCTACTGTTACTGCTGCTATACTGCTTTACTTCTACATCGACCTCCATGTTACATCCTGGTTACTACACCTAACTACCTGCTCCTATTAGTTTTACGATGACTATTACGCTACATGGTCGTTTTAGTCTTGTTCGCACGACCATTCGTACTAATACGACTACTACAAAACAACAACAACAACAATTACTACTACTACTACTACTACTACTACTACTACTACTGATACTATTACTACTACTATTACAAAGATGCTAGTCGACCACTGCTGCTGCCAGTTCGCTATTATTGCAGATGCTGCGGCTGCGATTGCTGCTGCTACTGCTACCACTACCACACCTACTGCTATTGCAATTACCATTACTGTTACATCTGCTGCGGGTTACTGCTACTACCCCTGACACCACTACTACTGCTACTGCTACTACTACTACTACGACTACAACCACTACTACTACTACTGTTATTTTTATTACTACTACTACTACTACTATTTCTACTACTACTACTACTACTATTTCTACTACTATTATTATTATTACTATTACTACTACTACTACTAGTACTACTACTACTACTACTGCTACTACTACTACTACTGCTGCTACTACTACTACTACTATCACTACTACTACTACTACTACTACTACTACTACTACTACTACTACTACTACGACTACTACTACTACTACTACTACTACTACTACTACTACTACTACTACTACTACTACTACTACTACTACTACTACCTACTACTACCTACTAGTACGACTTCTTGTCCTTATTACTACTGCTGCGAATGCGACTGTCACTGTTGCTACTGCTACCACAATTATTGTTATGATTGCTATAGCTTCTACTACTACCACTATTTTATTTTACTCTTTCTGCAACTACTTCCCCTACTAACCTCTACTACGACTACGACTACTACTACTAGTATTACTACTACTACTGCTGCTTCTGCTACTACTACTACTACTACTACTATTACTGCTACTAGTACTACTACTACTACTGCTAGCAGGCTGTACTACTATTACTACTACGACTACGGCTACGACTGCTATTACTACTACTACTACCACTACTACTACTACTACTACTACTACTACTACGACTTCTACTACTACTACTACTACTACGACTTCTACTACTACTACTTCTGCTACTACTACTACTACTACTACTACTACTACTACTACTACCACTACTATTACTACTACTACTACTACTACTACTATTACTACTACTACTACTACTGCGGCATGGCACATCGCATCGCAGCACAGCACAGCCCTCGCCACAGTACATCAAGATCGATACATTCAGCATTGCATTTGCCCGTCGCCCAATCCGGCGTCTTTGAAACGTTGCCATACCCTACATTCCTATACTCCTTTCCGGGTTCTTGGGTCGATCATGTTTTCCCGGATGGCTCTCTGAGAGCTAACCCTACGATTGCAGAGCTCTCTCTGCGATGACGGCGGCGAGCGGCGTCCCACGGGACGCCGGCCGTGAAAAGCGTTTCCTTGGACGCCGTTGTTTCCCTGGGACGCCGGAGTTTTCCGGGGAGGCCGGACCTTTCTTAAATTTACATCTATGTGCATATTTTTGTTTGAGCCGCGGACACGCGTCAAAAAGGTGTGTGGAGTCGAAGAGGAAAAGGGAGGTTGTCTCAATCCTCTTCCCTCATCCTCCGATCCTCCTCCGATCCTCCTCCTCCTCCTCCTCTTCCTCCACCTGTTCCCCCCATCTACGGTGTCGGTGGTGATATACATTTTGCGTTATGTTATCGTTATTGTGATTATTATTGTTGTTGTTATTGTTGTTGTTGTGGTTGTTGTTGTGGTTGTTGTTGCTGCTGCTGCTGTTGTTATTGCTGCTGCTGTTGTTGTTGGTGTTGTTGTGTTGGTTTGTTTTGTTTTGGTTTGTTTTGTTGTTGTTGTTGTTGTTGTTATTGGTGATGACATTGTTGTTGTTGATGATGATGATGTTGCTCGTGTTTTTATTGCTGTTGTTGTTGTTGGTGGTGGTGATGGTGGTGGTGTTGCGGTGGTTGCTTTGGTTGTCGAGGTTGTTGCTGGTATTGGTGTTGTTGTTGTTGTTGGTGTTGTTGGTGTCGTTGTTGTTGCTGTTGTGTCGCCTTCGTCGTTGTCGTTGGTGGAGGTGTTGGTGCTGTGGTAGTTGTGGTAGTTGTGGTAGTTGTTGCTGCTGCTGTTGCTGGTGTTATCGTCGACGGTAACACCACCA